GTCACAAATGGTTCCAGGACCTGAATGTCTTTCCCAAAGAGCAGGCTTGTAGCCATCGGAGAGGAGACTCGTTAAACTATTTTAGTAAAAATTTAACATGACATTTTACTTACTAACATTCAAATGGTACTGAATCATTTAGTAGAAATGCATGGTCATTTCTAGGTAAGTGCAAGCCTTTTGGAATGGCTACTCGAATACTGGGTTCACGATACACACATTTTGCATCTCAAAAAGAAAAACCTGGGTACTAGGGTTGTTATGCAGAGTCAATGAGATCATGAACGAGGGCTTCAAAATATCGACTATCTTTTCTGTTTTCCCACAGACTTTCAAAATCCCCCTTAGAACACGGACAACACGAGAACAGCGTTTTACAGAGAGCGGCTTCCCAGATCCACTTCCTCAATGCACATGTCCTTCCAGGGCGTAATTGATAGCACTGAATGGACTGCCCGCAGCCATATATTCTCTAGTAACTGGTTGTCCAATTGCCTTGAGAAATTGTGTAAGCTCTCCAAGGCCAATGCCAATCTGCCGGGCGTAGCTGAGAAAATGTCCTGAAACTAGCACCACACTCTCAAGTCACTGAGCAGAGAGCCCAGACGCCTTGGTTAGCATCCTTCTTGGGGCCTGTATTTTCTTCAGACAAACGAGGAGACTGACTAGATGGGGGATCTCCCAGGTCTGACCTGATAGCAGGTTCTTCAAGTATGGTCTAGAGACCACCAGCACCCGCTCCGCCCGTGGATGACTACTCGCTGCCATCAGTCGGTTCGCCTCGTGCCAGCCCTGTAGACGGGCGGCACTGCCCCGTGGGATGCTGAGACTGCAACTCTTCACAGGAGAACCAAGTCTCATCTTTCCCCTGAGGACCGAGAAGCTGGTGGTTCTGAACTCCTGACCTGGGGATTGGCCTGCCAATGTGTAACTACTAAGCCATCAGAAATGCAAAAATGGCAGACCCATCTCAGACTTAAAGGTGAAACCCCTGAGTCTAGGTTTTAACATTCCCCTGAGTGAAGCTGATGCAGGCTTGAGAACCAATGTCCTAGAACTCTAAATAGCACGATTTTAAAATTTTACATTTAGATCGTGCTTGTTGGGAATTACACAGCAAAGCACACGCCAATGTCAACAGTCTCTACATGCGCTGTTTAGTAACGCAGATGGCGTTCTCTGAGTTGTACAACATTCTCACCCCGTTTTGAACGGCCTCCCCTCTAGTCGTGTAAACTTGCTGCCTCCTCATCTTTCAAGCCGCTGTTGTTAATTCGATCCGACACAGAGAGTTCTTAATGGAGCAAAAACGCTCAAGACGAATACTGTTTACTAGTTTAACTAAACTGTGCTTGGTTTTAAGAAGACTTCAGGGGATATTCTTGGTTTTAGGTTTAAGCGTTACCGCTGGGCAATGGTTTCAGGGACTCCTCCCACCTCAATGGCTCTAGGAAGTCTGGGGTCCATGAGAATTTGAGAATCTATTCTCCAGTCCCTCCCCTTTGGATCAGGATTTTTCTTTTCTTTTTTTTTAAAACTCATTTTATTAGGGGCTTGTACAACTCTTATCACAATCCATACATCCATCCATTGTGTCAAGCACATTTGTCCATATGTTGCCATCATCATTTTGAAAACATTTGCTTTTTACTTGAGACCTTGGTATCAGTTCTTCATCTTTTCTCCGCCCTCCCCCACTCTCCCTCCTCTGATCAGGAGTTTTCTATGGCATCTTTGGTCACAATGTCCAGTCCTGGTAGCCAGGCACCACCCAGTTCTTCTGGTCTCCTGGAAAAGGAGGCAGTTCTTCAGAGACACATTCCCTTTCTTCCTCTATTCCCAGTGCTCCTTCCTCAAGCGTTCCAGACTAAGAGTTCAATTGCTGCGCCTTGAAAGGCTGATAAACCAGCTCCCAAGACTCCACCAGCGAACTCGGAGGCAAGGCAGAAACACTGCACTTGCTATTGGGCCAGTTAACTGGATGCCGCACGAAACTGTTAGGTAGACGATGGGGGATTCTTCCTCTCCATGCCTGGGGCCCCTACAGGAAGTTGGAAGCTGATAAAGGCTGAAGGGCATGCTCCAAATTCAGGGCTCCAGCAAGGGGTGGGGTGGGTACACCTGGGTTTAATTCAGCCAATGGGGTCAACAAGTACTGTTGACCATGCCTCCCAGTGCAAGACCCCAAAAGGCTGAAAGTTTGGGGCCACCGCCCTCTTTTTCCAGAAGTTCCTCTGTGGTCTGTGGTGTCTCTCTCTCTCTCTGGCTGGTGTTCAGTTTACTGTAGCGCCTGAAACTGCTTCTATCCTTTATAAAAACCCACTTGGATCACGAATCAGGCTTCCGCGTGGATTCTTTTTCGTGCGAAGCCAAGGACCGAGGGATTTCTCACCCGAGAAACCTAACAAAACCACACAACCCCAATTCTCCACACCAAGAAGCCAAATTCCAGTCTGATTTTCAGTTGCGCTTAAGTAGCAATTAATTGTTGTTGTTGTCTATTCAAGGGGACTTCAGAAAGTTGATGGAAAAATTTGATGATCTTTTCGTTCAATTACCCCACAAACTTTTTGAAGCCTCTACAACACAACCTCTGCAAATCCAACCTGTCCCAGGTGTACCGCGGACTGACAGCGCTGATCATAATCAGCTGTGCAACATCTCCATCAGCGTTAGCTACCTGCCTGCCGCCCTGCGCAGCAGGTACATTTTGTTCCCTATACTCAAACGCTGGCCTTGCTTTGT